AAATAAAAAAAAAAAAAACTAGTGAATGAGAACGGAATAGCATAGGAGAAAAGTCTTTTCATTCATTGTTGTCCTACTTGTTATAGGGTTTACAAGAGAGGAAAATCTAAAGCCTAATCTACCTAACTAATAGGCTTCCACCCAATAAAGTATCTTAGTAATGTACACACAATAATATATTTATAACAATATATTAACACTTTCACATTACAAGTCTAGTTAAAAACCTTGTTAATAAAAACTCGACAAGGAAAAAATTAGTCGAAGAAAAAAAAGTACATGATTTATATAAAATTATGTGTTTTACTACATACCACGTTAAAAACTTTTACTAATAATCTCAATGAGAAAAACTTAGTTAAAGAAAAAATAGTACAACACTTGATCTTCAAGACCTAATCTTCGGGAGTATTTTGAGTTCGTCCCTCCCCCTAAAAACAACTGTCTTCCCAGTTTACGCATACTTGTACCATAATTGTATCTTTCAAAAGTAGATCTTAGAAGGAATTTAGTGAATAAGTCTACCAAATTATTGCTAGACAATATTTTTTGTACAAAATAATCTCACGGTTCTGGAGCTCATGTAGGTAAAAGAATTTTGGATTAATGTGTTTGTCATGCTTCCTTTAACATACCCATTATTCATTTGTAAACAAAAGTTGCATTGTTCTCATAGAGGATTGTGGGGGTTATATCATTTGTAATTGCACATGACCCACGGATATGTTGGATTAAAGATCTTAACCATACACATTCTCGTGAAGTCATGTTTAAAACAATTAACTCTAAGTGATTTGAAGATGTGATAACCACAGACTGCTTGGCTGACTTCCACGAAATTGTCACAAAGAAAAACATAACCAATATGAGATCTGATATTATGGGGATCAGACATATAACTAGCATCTGAATAGCCCACCAATGTCATATCTTTGTTATTTTTATAAAGTAAAACCAAGATCTTGCGAACCTTGAAGATACCTAAAAATATGATTAATATCATTTCAGTGTCTTCTCGTATGAGAAGTAGAAAACCTTGCTAGAAAGTTTACTACAAATGTAATATCATGTTTGGTGCAATTTCCAAGTTAAGGTAACGCGCCAATGGCGCTCAAGTAAGGAACCTCTGGTCGTAACTTTTCTTTGGTATCTTATTTGACTAATGGATCCTTACACGCTTCAAGGGATCGGACAACCATTGGTATGCTAAGTGGATGAGATTTATCCATGTAAAATTTTTCTAAACCCTTCATCAAGTATGTTAACTGGTGTAAAAAAAATCCTTCAGAGAGATGCTCGATTTGCAGGCCGAGACAATATTTGGCTTTACTCAAATCTTCTAGTTCATGCTTTATCAAGCTCCCCGCATGTGTAAGTAATATTTATGTCATCGACATACACTTAAATGTTACAAAAACCGTTGACTTATTTATGAACACACATTAGAACACATCATTATTCGCACAATCATTTTTAAATAAAAAAACTCACTCAGTCGGTTGTACCACATTTTACCTGACTGTTTCAATCCATATAATAATTTCTGTAATTTAATGCTATACATATTGTGTATTTCATTTTACTTTATTTCAGGAACTTTTAATCCTTCAGAGAATTTTAAATATATATATATATATATATATATATATGTGTGTCTAATGATCCGTATAAATATGCAGCCACGACATCTATTAACTGCATATTTAAATTTACAGTTATTGCTGGAGATATCAAATAGCGGAACGTTATTCTATCTATTACAAGAGAATATGTTTGATCAAAATCAATATTGGATCTCTGCGAAAACTCTTGAACAACTAATCTCGTTTTGTATCTCACCATCTCATTATTCTCTTTTTTCTTCTGTACGAACGCCCATTTATATCCTACTGGGATAACATTTTGAGATGTACGTATAATAGAGCCAAAAACTTATCATTTATTTAGCGAGTTTACTTAAACCTCAATTATCTATTTCCATCTTACCCAATTGGAACTCTTATGACACTCTGCAATTGATTTAGGTTCAGATCCAGACTATTATTAGAGATGGTAAAGAAAACTATATAGAAAAAATTTTCGTCAACGACTGTGTTCATTGTATCATAAGTTTCTCTTGCATCAACAAAATTCATAGCTATTTCAACATTTACATCAACCAGATCTTTTTTTATTTTCCAATATATTTTGTTATGGATGTTCTGCAATCCTAGTACTTTTATTAATTGTTGCATGTGCATGTAAACTAGGATTTTTTGCCTTCTGGACGATTCTCTTTTGGAGATTTCGGGTGTAATTCAATATTTTTATTAGATTTTATCTCTGGAAATTATTGTCTTTTGCACCAACAGGCCTCCTACGCTTCTATATTAGAGCATCTATAGGAATATTAGATTTCATGGGGACTTCCACTCGTTGTGGTAAATTTTATAGACGGTACATAAGATTTGGTCACTCTTTTATGACCAGTGAATGCATCTGACAAATTATTTGCTAAATATTGTAAATCATTTATCTTTTGAACTTCAAGTTCCACTTGATTGGTGCATGGATCTAAATATTGAAGATTTTGTACATTTCAAGAAATTTCTCGGCATTTACTTAAGTTTTGTTTTTATCTCCTCCTAATGCCGTAAAATTCTTTTCACCAAATATGCAGTCAACTTACCAAATTATAAATTGATCCCAGTCACGAGCTCTAGGTACTTGAGAATAGACGGTATATATCATATATATATATATACCTAGCTTTTTATGATGGCCCATAGAGGTATGTTGGGGTGGTGGTGATATAGCAACATAGGTTGCACAACCAAACACCCACAGATGAAAAACGTTAGGTTCTTTACCACGCAATAGTTGTATAGGGGAGTAATCATGATATGTTGTAGATCGAATTTGAATTAGGGCTGCAACATATAAAATTACATTTCCCCAACACGAAATTAGTAAGATAGGATCTTGTAACACTGGTCAGCAATTAATTTGATGTGCTTAATGAGTGATTTGGCTATAGACCATTTTGTGTGTGGAGATAAGGCATATGATGCTCCACTTTGATGCCTAGTGACATACAATACTCATCAAAAGCTTTCAATGTAATTCTCCGGCATTATCCATTCTAATAGTTTTAATTTGATAAAAAGGAAATTGAACTCTTAATTCAATAATTTTAGCAATTAGCTTTGAAAAAGCCTGATTTCTAGTGGGTCATAAACATGCATATGTCCATCGAGTTGAAGTATTTATCAAGACCATAAAATATCAAAAAGGTCCCATTGTGGTATGAATTGGGCCACATATATCATCTTGAATCCTATGAAGAAACATAGGAGATTCAGTCCCAACTTTAGTATGTGAAGATCTTAATATTAGTTTTCCCTTTGCACGAGCATCACAAATAAATTCATTAAACGAAATGAAGATTGTTGTTTGACACTGTATGTCATAATCTAAGCTCAAGTTGACCCAATCGCTCATGCCATAATCTAAATAAATGTGGGTCTTTAAACGACAACGTAACATGATTAATAAAAGGTTGAATTCAAGTACGATACAGTCTGAGGAGAAAGAGGGAATTTCTTCTACAATTTTCTTTTAACTTCTTTGTGATTGAGTCATTAACGAGTACCAATTCTACATTATTTTGAGTCTTAGTTTTAAGATTAAACCATTTGATCGAATATCAATAAAACTAAGGGTGTTCTTTTGGATTCATGATACAATAGCGCATCATTAATTATTAATTTAGTACTCATAGGAAGAACTAGTAAAGCTCTGTCAGAGCCTACGACAAAGGTATTAAAGTCTGAAAAATTTCCTATCTTTCAAAATAGTGTGTGTAGTAGAACTATCGACTGGCTTTTTAAAAAGCCCCTTTTCTTCATTAGATGCAAACTCGTGAATGGTTGTGGTACACTAAATAGAAAGTAAAACATTGTAAGGAAACAAAACAATTATGAAATACCAATCAAATCATAACGCACGTGGAAAGACTATCCTCATAAGGGAGACCAGGGACCCACTCTTCTTTTGTGCCACGAGGTTAAGCATGAAAACAAAATAATAAGCCATAATGAACCACAATTGTCCGACGAAACAAAAGAAATCAGAACTGTCTTATAACATGAAACAAACCATCAACAAAAATATCAATATTAAGATAGAATGCATATAAGATATCACACATTATCACTATAGTCCTCGAGCTCAAACTTCAATAAATCATGATCATCATCATTTATTGTTAAATTTGCTTCAGGCAACTAGCGTTATATGATTCACCTTGAGAAGCCTTTCTTTTCTA